GAAGGACCTCGACTAGGAAATTCCTGAGATTTATGGAGGGTACTTGAAGATATTGAGGGTACGCAGTAAGTATCCGAAGACATCTGATCCGATCTTGCCCGCGGTATGTGGCCTGGTCTAGGTAGAGTGTCGCCCGACGTAACAGAGTCTGTGAACTGTTTTTAACCCAATGATATTTCTAATCTTAAAAAAATATGAATGCATTTCTTTACTTTCTTTTTTATTCGGTAGTATAAATAAGTTACAATAAATAACTTGTATAGATATTTTTTAGTTTTTCCGTATGTGCTATATTGTGTTTTTTCTTTAAACACTTGTAGCGGCACTAGACCGCAAAGAACAATTCTCTTTCCAACGGTTTCTTCGGTCCATAGTATAGCATCGCTGGAAGACTGTTTATGAAAGACCGACGAAATATATACAATGTCGCGATAAAGCGTAAGTGCCGACAGGCCTAATGGCCCATCGGTATCCCTGTAGTCCTTCCGTTAAATACTCGGAAGAAGGCGTGCGTGACCACCATCGTGTGACATCAATCCACATCAGAGACCAGGCCACTGTCACGTAAAATTAAGGCTTAGGTTTTAAAGACAAGAAGGTTGAGCCATAACACAACTTTATGTTTCTTTTCTTTTTTCTTATTTATTTATTTATTAAAATTACAATCAATTCTCGCGTTGAGAATTTTCAGTAATTTTTCTGGCGTGGTGCGGTGACATGGCTGATTATTTATAATAAGTTAATACTTATTATAGATAAGTATAATCTATATGTAAGTATTATAAATATGTAAATATTACTTAATTTAGATAACTAATTAAATCTAGCGTTTAGGTCTAGCGGGTAGTGCCTCTTCAGCCTGCGAATCTGGTCCGTCGTATCAAGTAGTCCAGTGATTAGGGGGTTTCGGTGTTTGTTGACTTTTTTGCTATATCTGTCGCTATATTTTGCTATTTTCTCTTTGACTGTGCGTATCTTGAGGTCGCGGATGTTTCTTTTTTATCGAACTTTATTGAATAACACAACTTTATAAGCACAGTTTACGCGACTGATCTGAGATATGTTGACTGATGAGAGTTTGTGGTTTCAGTGCAGAGGTGTTCTCGTATTATTACGGAGGAAAGCTCGGTGTGGGTGTGCCCTTTGAACTAACAACGCGAATTCGTTATTCACACTTTTCGTTAGGAAAAGTGAGGGTAACGAACCGCGATGCCAATTGGTTATAGCCCACGTTAATAAATGAAGATAGGAGGAGGTGGCCTCCTACCAACGTGGCTCGCAAGTGACATTGTTCATGGGAAAAACCAGCTTTTCCATTAGACGAATATTCGTTTTTCCCACCGTAACGCGGGTAACTACCCGCTCCCTCCGTAACTTGTAAGAATGTGCAATAAACCTAAAGACTATTTCAAGGACCATCTATAAACCGATAACACTTACAGGGTTAATAAACTGAAATTTTAAGTTTATGGTGGGTCCTTGGGGTTATTGAGGGTACGCGGTGAGGACCTGCACACTGGCCTTAGATGTGGATTGACGTCACACTACACACCGCGGGCAAGATGGCAGCCAGATGTCTACACATCCTTGGCGCGTATCCTCAATAGTCTTAAGAACCCACCATGGCTCTCTGCATTTTCATAGTTAAGGTCCTTCAGACCAAACAAGTATCTTTTGTTTCAGGTGTGCTTTACATTTATTGTTTGCTACGGGTTGGCATGGAAAAGTTGGTTTTTCTCACGTTCGGTATCTTGCGTTAGCAACTTTCCCTCGAGAGCGGCTAAAACCCTTCCTGGTCCACCAACGTTCTTATTATCCAATCGGAAGCGGTGTCTATTACCCTCACTTTCCTAACCAAAATTGTCATCAACAAATCCGATGGTCCCGTGTCCTTAGACACACCCACCCCTAGCTTTCCTCCACCACAACATCGTCACTAGACTTACTTCTTCTCGATCCTTAAAATAGTTAACATATCTTTACCGCTTTCTACCCTTAGACCAGTCGCGTACTTGACTTAGACATGGCTATTAAGTGCAAAAATAAAGTTTAATAAAAAACAAAGTTAATAGTTGTGTTATGGCTCAGCTATCTTGTTTTCATCATATAACCCTCAAGTTTACGTGACAATGGCGGGCGGTTACGAACACGTGCATAATGGGGATATCAAAAGATGAAAAAGGGAAGAAAGACGATTAACAGATCAGTCGTCAGTAAGCAGGTGTCAGTAAACAATCGTCAGTAGGAGTCATGAGTCGAGAATTGAAAAGTGAACGTCAAACGTCTAGTTGCGAAGAAGTCGGTATCGAGAGCGAGTTGCGAATTAGTTAATACATCTTCGCAACGAATATCTTTTCTAGTCAGGCCCAGGCCACACGCGTTAGTCAAATTTCAATAAACAAACCGTTGAATAAAACGCCGGGTATTCATTTGTCACTTTTCACATCTTACGCCTCACATTTTAATTAGCCAATAAATTTGCTCGAGTTCTTTCCGCAAAGATTGCTACAGCATATTTAAAAAGAATGTTATGCAATACTTTTTTCCTACAGTGCAATTTTAAGCGACAACATACAACTTCTCCACATTAATGGTTGTATGCAAATTGCTTAAAACAGAAAAATGATTTGGAAATTTTATAAACAAACGAGTATTACTAAAAGTAAAAGATAAAGTGCCATTTTAATGTTTACGGTGACTCCTACATTTTTCGTCATGAAAATACAAATTCTATTTTGGATTATAAGTTTTGGTATTTTAAGAATGGCACTTTTTATTTTTACTGCAAATGTAGCGTAAATGGCGAAACTCCAGAGAATATGCACAGACATTATTCATTTATGTATGCAGTACAATGCAAAACGAAATCACGTATTTGATCATCTAATGCACATCTGCATACTTTAGCAGACGTGAAACAAAGAAATAACAAGAGAAATTCCAAGTAGTCTGCTTGCAACTAAGGCTATAATTAACCTACATAAAAATAAAGTTATAAAAAACTATGTAAAAGGTATGGCAACATAAAGAAGTGTGATTCTTCGAGGAATTTTGTGAGGTTATGCAGTATTTTGTTGTTGTAAATTTAATTTTCATGAAATTTTTAATATAATCTGAAGGAAAAAGGAAAGTCTACTTTTATCTCTCTAAACGTTTTACTTTAGACTGTCATTATCACATGTGAATAACGTAAAGATTTGGTTTTGAGATCTTGACGTTACATATACAGTGAGACTCAAAAGAGAGTATACAATAGTATTGAAGGAACGAAAAAATGTTCACACACACAGAGTGCTTCTTTTATCTTGGAAAATCGAAATATCTTGTGAGGGATTGGTCTTATTAAAAAATTTGTTTTACAAATGTTGTTTAGTATGAAAGGTCCATCATGTGGCGTACATTATTTTTTTACAGATTTAGTAATGGGGGAGATTTTAAGGTTAGCTTTATTTTTTATAGCCGAACCATATATCTCTTAATACAGTAACCGAACCATGAAAAACATTAACCACATCGAAAAACTGTTAGTTTAATAGATATTTTAACTTTGATTTGTTAAATTTAAGGTATATGTAAAAAGTTTTATTTACATAAATGATAATAAATGACCAATGTCAATGCTCAACAATTATATTTTATCATAATAATTAAATATATCATATTAATATAATAATAATTAAATATATCATATATCATTAAATATATCATATTTTTTATTGGTGTAAATGATAATGAATTGATGAATAACAGTGATTGATAAATCTGAATATGTGTTAACAATAATCTTATGTTTAATATAAATTAGCAAAATTTGATTTCTTTATAATTTCCATTTTCAAACTAATTCACAGTTACAAATAAATTCACAGAGATGAGAAAAATGTGGCAAATTTAGTTCGGAGATTACTACTAATTTTTATTAAATTCACCGAACTCCAAATTATTATTTAAAATCGTCAAGATAAACGAATTGATTCTCAAAATTTTATCAAATTCTCACACAAACATCCCGAAACGTAATGACATTTCAACACTGTCTTCACAATTTGCCGAACTTCCTCCTACACGCCAAAACTCGTACCAGGATTTAACTTCACCTCTGACAGTCGTCAAAATCTGATTGGTCGCTTAACGACCCCGGTAATCCGTTAAAATTACATGTTCTAATCGGCCGCACAAGTCGCTCTAATAACTCTAGTTTCAAATCGGACTCAATTTCTCGATTCAACTCTTTCTAACCGTTCGAAATTCCACTATTGCGTTTCCATCAGATGTAATGTCGCTCGATTCAACAATGTTCACCAAATTGCATTATGTTTAGTGATGGGATTTGAAACATTTTGGATCAGTTGGAATCTGTATTGTACATGTGGCGATAAATTCGAATTACTTCGAACATGATTCGAAGCTTAAAATTCCTCAATGTCCGATAAGTGCTCATAAATCTTGATAAGTACTGAGTCTTGTATTTATGATAACTCGGATTTTCCAAATTTCTTAAATATTTTGTACAGGCGATATTGCTTAGTTGAAAGTAATCAAAATGCTTGTGAAATATTGAATATTCATCAAAAAATGTATCTAAACCCTCAAGATTTTCAAACCTATCAAGATTTTTAATAATTCCAAGACGAATAGGATTTTCAAGAGTTTTAAGCTTTGAATCATGTTCGAAATGATTTTAACTTTCAACAGATTCTAACTCAAATAGATTTAAAGCGATTCGAAGCGTTCACTAAGATGCCTCGATCGATTCGGGCTTTTCGCGCTTTATGGATTACACGCGGCTTGATCGAAAAATTACGTTAGGAATAATAGACTACACAAAGTTTTCAATAGATACGAAGCTTTTTTGTGATACTACTAGTTTTTAGAACTGGAGGTTTTTATTAGTGTTCATAATCCGTTCTTTCTTGACAAAAATTATTCAACTAGAATCTTTAGAATTTTTAGAATGGTTTAGCTTTTTAATTTTTACATTTTTTAAGAAATACAGTTTGAAATATTTGTATTCTATTAAGAAAACTAAATTGTTATTTAAATTTCAACAAAGATCGGATAAAGCCTATGAATGAATATACAAAGTATATATGAATAAAGATATCTTTCTTATAATTTTCTTTCAATACTGTAAGAAGTTTTCTTAGACTTCAAGCTTTTGTCGACCGATTTTTCATATCGTATCGATGATGCATTTATCTGTTAGAAATATGATTCTATTCTTCATATAAATGGATATTTTATTTTCAGCAATAATTTTCAATATAATGTATAAAGATGCATAAATGATTCGTGAAATTATTCTCGATTTCTGACTGTTAGAATAGCAACTACCCATAAAGAAGATGTATGAGATATCATTATTCTAATGTTTGGAATTTGCATGTAAATGTTAAATTTTGCGGACTGTTCGATTATTAAATCATTATCCGGGGAAACGAGTTGACTAGTCTTGGATATAATAATTTTATTATTCAGGAATACTTTCTTTTTCCTTATTATATTTGTAGGCGGCCGCCTAGTGATACTTGAAAATTTGAAAGGAGGCATTTGCCCATAGCTTGGATAGTATAATTGTGAAAGCACCAGCCTGGCAAGCGAAAGATTTGGGTTCGAATCCAGGTCCAGTAACTCAATCGGTTGAATATTTACCAGTGTATAATTTCAGAAGTGTGATGTATCCCAACGCGATATCCAACGTTAATGATTTGTGTATTTGTGCTTTGTGCGTGACCGGGAGCGGGTTACAATTGTCGGGCTGACCGAGTTGTAGGCGAACCGCCCGGTAATACTTCGGAATTTGAGAGAAGGTATTCGCTGACAGCCTGGGTAGCTTAACTGGGAAAGCACTCATATGCAACGTGTTATATTCCCTGACTACCAATACCAAAGCAAACCAATCGAAGGCAAACCTATGTAGTACAATGCCACATAGAGTTATAGTCGTAGTATAAAAGCACATTACCATAAGTTTATGCATGTCATAGATTAGGAATCAATGTTAAAACGCTACATGCTTTGATTCATTGTTTGTCATTGTTTTCGTTAACTTTTAGTTATTTTAGTTGTTCTATCTTTCTGTTTTTACAATATTACTCTTTTTGACGCAATAAAACGATCGTTACGAAAAAAATTGTTAAAATACCCGTCCAGAAAGCGAAAGATCCGGCTTCAAATCCTGATCCAGCAATCCGATCGGCTGAATATTTCTGTTCCTACATATTAATACTAACTAACGTATATTTAGATACGCAAATTAAAATATTTATGAATACAATTAAAGAATGGAACCAAAACAGAGATTTGTTTTACCCAATAATCAAATATTATAACGAGTATTATATTTTTTTAAATATATTTTTTAGATATTTCATGTATTTTTGCTTATTATGTGAATTATGTGTAAATGTAAACATCCGCGGTATAATCATTACAACCTAAATGATTATAGAATATGTGCATATGTATCAGAATGCAGGCAAAAACTTTGTAATAAAACATATATTTCGAGTTTTAAGAAGTGTTCTAATAAAGCTGTTACTTTCTTATTTCGCACCGTGAAACAATGCATTTTTATGAGTTGAAACTTGGAAAAATGTATCACAAAAGCCGTGGGAGGCATGAATTTAACATTCAAAGAAGCTTATGTAAATATTAGGCAAATTCAATAGATATTGGTTCGTGAAATTCAAGACTGATAATGTTTTATTACAAAAATACCAAAAGAGAAAT